CTTCTGTGAACACTACCAGGTGCCAAAAACTTGAGGACGATTGCTGTGCACTTCCTCGCTAGTGACACTATTCATATTAGTGCAGTTGCAGAATGCATTACAAATTAGAGTGCACTTTGAACGTGTGCAGATTCACACAATATTAATGCATATTAAGAATCTCCACTGGGGCAAACTTCGCCACCATGGCATTTTCCTGACAACTTCTGGTGCATAAAAAAGTCATGTTTCCTTAATCAGAAAGGAATGAACCCCTACTTATTTGAGTAAATTGGGACCCACCAAAACAAGGCAAAGCAGATTACATTGCAAAGAATGATGCTCCTGCATTTGACCACTGGTGTCTCTCACAGCACTATATGCTTAGGTGAATTAACAGATCAGGGTAATCTGAGAGAAATGTATACCAGAAACAAACAGGAAGTGACTGCTGGGACTTGGCATTGTCAAATGTCACCATATGGAAAAGGTTAGAAACTTTTTGAAGGCTCAGTTCCTAAATGGCTGGTGTTACTCTCTCAGGCAAATAAAACCACAGTGGGGAATTTAATTAATTTACTTTTATTATTCCATAATGATTTAAGGTCTCTCAAAAAGTAATAACTCAGATAAGAAAGTCCAAGTAACAACTCTTTCCATTCAACTAAACAACACCATATTATCTCCACTAATCATAACACACTCATGCTTCTGAACAATCTCCCATGTTACAGCAATTTCATTACTAACAAAAACCACTGAGGTTGAAAGAGAGGAAGAAAGCTTTGTCCCACATACCTTACAAGTGTATTTATCTTTCTCAGTACACCACATTTTCTTGCATTTCCTGATTTATACTTTCTGCTCCAGAATGTCTGCTTCATCCAAAAATAAACACAGACCAGAYACCCAATGCAGATTTGAGTGCAGAACACATATCCAACAGAGCTTTTGCATTAACTGGACATGGACCCATTAAACAGGAAGCCAGGTCAGTGATAAAAGTGTTATTCTTCATATCCACTTTTTTACAGAGTACTCAAAACAGGAGCAAGACTTGTAACTGTGCTCAGCTGACAACTCTACTTCCAAGTATCCAGGGATTTTTTTATTTATTAGTCTTGTCCTGATCCCCAAAGGGAGAAGAATTTAAAGAGGAAAAGTGTGAGTTCTRATTTGAACCTTCCCTTCCCGACATGTTTCTGCTATAAAGAACTCAGGCAAGRCCATCTTTTTAAGGAATGTACTTTGCACTACAGTGATTAACTTTAAAGCAACTAGAAGCCATCTGATGACAGGCAGTTTTCAGGCTGTAGCCCCAAGAACTGAAGTCATGTGTTTAAGGAAGGCACTGACTCTGCCTGTGTAAACCAGCATCTTTAAAAATTAAGAAGCCAAGTTTAACACACGCATGGAGAACTTTCCATKACTTCAATCTCCAATTAACCCTATTTGTAACCCAGTATCATCATACACACTGCTTCAAAACTGTCTGACCACAGTTTTCCAAAGGTCTCATAAAACCAAAATGTATATCCTTAAAAAATTTTGGGAATTTTTTTACCAAGACACTTTTGATGTACTAAATAGTCAGGTCTCCCAAAATGCGGGGGAAAGATGAGTAGACATTACAAAACCAATAATTGTTTCCATTAGGGATTTTGGCTCAAAGTTCACAGGGTACCTGTCACCAACTTATTAACCAGCATTTCCTCCATGGAACACAGACAAACTCCACAGATGCAAAAGCATCCAGGATGAGGTTTAAAGACACTGGTTTAATCTCAAAAAAGTCCTAATCAGTTTTGGTTATGAYTCCCCTAAAAGTACCTATTGCTASAGTATCACTCCACAGCCAATTAGGGGCTGCAGCAAACAACTCCTAGTGACAAACAACACRTTGGCTTAAAGAGTAGTTTAGCCCTTTACACCACAACTTGTTCTCTCCTCCTCCAGTTGGCAGACAGCAACATATGCTGATTTTCAAGTTTTCTCTTTGGGGTAATTAACAATGGCCACATTTTGACACAGATAGGCCTTCAAAGTACTCTAAAAAATTAAGGATTGGTTATGCATAAACTATACAAAATACACAAAAATATACACCGGTAACAGGAGCTACAATTATGTCCAGCCCTATCCCCAATCTGTTTCTCGTAGCAACTGACTGTAAAAATCGTTCCACTGAAACCAAGTGAGCAGCTTGCCAAGGAAATTGCTATCCAGTATGGGTAAGCCATGGCAAAACTGGACAACACACTTTTAAACACAACTGTGAGCATATCATTTGCATATCACAAACTATCAATAAACTTTGGTGTAATTACAATACAGTATTCTTGCTTTTCATATTCTCATTCTGTTTTTCACCTCCTGCCCTGAGCTAAATAATTAATTGTTTCTATTTAGGAAGAAAAGAGCAAAGATTAAAAACTGCCTTCGAGCATTACAGATGTCAGAAGTTTTTTGGCTTATGTTTGTGCTAGTGAAAGGGGTTTGTTCTTGTACATATACTTGCTAAATCTTGTTACACACAAATTTAAAAAATCCATTCCTGAGTGATTCTATCTGCAAAGTATCACCATATGGTAGCTTTCACAAATGATCAACTGTACCAAAACATCTAAAAATAACATCTTCCTTAAGTAAAATAAAAACAATTACCAGAAGAGACTTTTGGGTATAATTCTGAGCTAAGGAATCAATACCACGTTGTTGAAATGCTTCAAGTAAATAAGCAACCTCTGGAGAAAAATAGCAGTCCTAAATGGCCCACAAGCATCAATGATAAATGTAATATACATGCTTTGGGTCCTTTCAAAAGTCTATTCTTAGATGTAAGACAAACCCAATCCATTTAATTAAAACCTTAGCTTACAAACACATCCACCAAGTAAGTGAAGCTTAACAAATCTAATTTGAATGAAAGGGACTAGCTGGGTAAAAGAGCAGCTCCCTGATGTTCCTTGCTCTAGTGGTTTCATGTAACCACTGATCACCAACTACTACAACAGCAAACATACAACACCCTTAAACTAAATGGGAGTTGTCTGTCTAAATTTAGCTACTTTTAAATAATGCATTGTGAGTTATAAAATAAAGTGCTACTGAATTATTTAACTTGGGTCTCATCTTTAACAATGATATATCACTTTTAATTAAATGGAAGGAAAGATGTTTATATTCAGAGTTGCTTATTATTGTAAATTGCAACCAGTAAAGCAACATTTTGACTCCAATTATGTCAGCAGTCAGTTTTTCCTATATATATCTGATTCACAGAAATAGAACTGAGACTCAAGCTAAGATAAGCAAAAGCAAGACTTGCAGAGCTGTCTTAGATCTTCAGGCGATCCCAGCTTAGCATTCATTCACAGCCTTCAGATACAGAATATCCCACCCATCTGTAACAGTTGGCAAGAACTGGCTGGGATCTCAATCTCACAAACCTGCACCAATAACATTCACAATAGGCATATTTCCCTCATGCAAATATCAACTTCTATGAGAGCAAACACTCAAATGCACTCAATACCACTACAGCTAATAAAGGCATCATGTTCTGTAACTTTTAAAACGTTTTGAAGACTCACACAGACGGGTGTTAAAGCTGAAAGTTTCTGTAGGACTGTGCTTCTAGCACAATGCAACAGTTGTATATTATTTACTATAGTAACCTTTCAGCCAGGCCTAACACCTGCAAAGGCAAAATTAACATTTAGCAATAAAACGGAATGACACATCTTGTTTAGGTTTCAGGGGAAAGCTGCTTTGCACCTCACATAACGGAATAACATCACTGTTTAACAATCATGTTTTCTGCTTAAAGGTGGCTGCCTTCTGCATTTAGTGAATGGAGCAAAAGCCCAAGGGAAGAAAAGCATCAACACGACAGGACTTCACAAACTACTAACTTTAATGGGTGCTTTGTAAAGCAAACAACACCCCTTGACATACTGCGGAGAAATGAAACCCAAAGTGTGATCAGTCCAGGCCTGCATGGAGACACTTTGCTCCTCAAAACAGACACTTACAGGAAAAACCCTGCTCTTGATGTCATTGCATCAGTAACCTCTCCCCAACTGGGTTTTGTGCAGACCCCATCCCCAACTGTGGACTACGCTTCGCTTTGTAGAAAATCATGGGATCTTTCTACACAGAAAGTAAGTCAATTTCATTCTTTTTRTGCTTTCAAATGCCTGCTTGTTGATTCTACAGGGGAAAAAATAATTAAATAAACACACCGTCTACAAAAAAAAGTTAATTCCACTGGGACAACTTCGGCAGCCCGAGACAGCCAAAAAAATGCATCAAGCTAAAATTTTGACAGCTGTTTTACGCATCCAGTGCCACGAGCGAGGATGTATAGAAGTTTACTTCTCTTTCCTCGACGTGCCTTTCAAAGTGCAAGCTGCCTATCCCTCCTTGGCRGCTCTCCCGCTCCCGAAGGGGAGCCCGACGTGCCACCGTGGGCTCGGTGCCTGCCGCTCCGGCGGGGCGCACGGCGGCGGCCCCCGGGACCGGCGGAGAACAAGAAAGGGTGGGTGGCGGGTATGGAAAGCGGTGAGGAACGGCTCRCTGAGCCAGCCCACCCGCGCCGCGGGGTGGCAGGGCGGGATCCCCGCAGCAGCGGTGCCCGCCGCCGAGGAAGAGGAGCCGGAGGGAAGGAGGGAGGGAGGGAGGCAGCCCGCCGCTTCCCCCACACCCAGGACGCCCGGCAGGGCAGGGCGGCTGCCGGGGCAGGCGGCTTCCCCTCCGGCCCCGCGGAGCCCCGCCGCCCCGGGGGGCTCTTCCTGCCAGCCGGGGACAGATGTGGACGCAACAGCTGGACGGGGAGGAGGGGAGAGGGAAGGAAGGAAGAGGCACGGCTGCCTCACCACCCCCCCCCCAGCGCCGCCGCTCCCGGGGATGCGGGCGGGATGCAGCGGCCGTCCCCGGCTCCGGGCTAGCCCCGCTTTGGGATGGGGATGGAGAAAGTGGCCGTGAAGGCAGCGGGGCTGGCCGGCTCCTGCCCCCCTTACCTTGCTGCGGATCTGGCCCGAGGTGGACACTTTCCGGATGAGTTTCTGGGGGCCCTCGTGTTCCCCTTCGCTGTCCGACGACTCGTCCGCCGKCCCCGCCGCCGCCGCCGGGGGYTGGGGCTGGGGCTGCTGCGGGATCCCGGCGCCGCTCATCCCCGACTCGGCCCCGGCCATCTTCCCGGACTCCTACCGAGAGAAAGCACACGAGCCCGGCTCAGCCAGGGCAGCCGCTGCCGCTCCCCTCCCCGGGGAGGAGGAGGAGGAGGAGGCGGCCGGGAGGGTGGGGAAAGGGGCGGTGCGGGAGGCGGGGCCGGGGGCGGTGTCCGCGGCGGCCGGGGCGGCGGGCGCTGTGGGAGCGGAGCGGAGCGGGGCGGCCCGCCCGGCCGCCATCTTCCAGCGCCCCCTCCCACGGGCGAGCGCTGAGGGCTGCGCCGGCCGCCTCTCCGGCTCTTGGGGACCGGGGCACGGCCACCCGCGCCGGCCGGACCGGACCGGCCCGGCCCCCTGCGTCCCTGCCGACGGCGAGAGTCCAGGGGTGGCCGCCGGCTCCAAGGGGCGCCGGTGCCGGTGCCGGCCGGGCCGCCCCGGGCAGGAGCGTGCCCGCCCCGCAGGTGAGCGCCGGGCCGAGTCCGGGCGGTGCAACAAGCGACGGGCAGCGGGGCGGRCCCCGGGCGCCCCCGCACCTGCCCGAGACTCGGCGGATGTCCCGGCGTGGCCGGCAAAGTGGGACGCGGCGCTGCAGCGAGCGCCGCCCGCCCCGCCGGGCACCCCCGTGCGCGCTGTGCCACCGGGCGACCSTCGGAGCGGGGCGAGTGCTGAGTTCTGAACGCAAGGAGATCRAAACCGAGCGGCTGTGAGCGCGGGTGGTGTGCCCAGCCCCTGCCCCGTCCCGGCCGAACGCTGTGCCGCTCTCCGCTAGGATGTCTCTTCGGAACTGAACGGAGGGCAAGGAGCGATGGGCTCCTTTTCTGTATGCTATTCCTCCAGCCAGTCAGCCCCCGCTTATTATCCATCAGCGCCAAAGCCTTGGACAATTTTAGTAAATGCATCTATGGCTTTCTAGTTGTTTTCTCCTAATGGCTTACTTTTCTCATTACTTTATCCATTTTTGTCTTTGAAAGAGCAGCCCTTACTTCTGGGGAAAGAAAGGGTCAGTTTTCCCTTTTCATCTCAGATCTGGCAGCTTGCACGATCTCGAAATGTCACCACATGTTCTGAATTGTGGGACTTCGGAATTATTGTGGCTTGTATGTAGTCAGTGTTCAAAATAAGTGTTTAAATCACAGCAATACTAAATAAAACACACGACTCCTAGCTGCGTGGACCGGATTAAACATAAGAAAGCAATCAATACTTGTGGCTTCTATATTCCCACAATTCTATTTATATTTCCAGAAAGGGAACTGACATCTCCTAACATGCTAATATAATGCCARTGTCTAAATACAAATCATTTAATGAGGAAAAGTAAACAATTGTACAACCCATTCTACCCTGCAGATATCTTACCACAGTCTGAATTTCATGTAGTTCAGAGTATTTTGCAGGGGACTTTTATTTCCAGTGGTGTAGGGGAGAGCAAGTATTTCTGTGAAGCTTTGGAGTTCTTGTGGCTTAGTTCTGTGTTACTGCACCAGATACTTTAAATACAATTCTACTACCCACCTCCATGTAGGAGCACTTCTAGAGGTAATACTTTAAAAATTACCAAAAGTAACATTTAAAAAGTCAAAATATATATTAAGTTTTATTTTAAAGGAATCTTGATCAAGTTACCTACATGCCCTATTAGAATATTAATTCTAAATTCTACCACATCTCAAACTGTGACTAATTCTATCTTATTTAGTAAGGACTAATTCTATCTTATTTCAAAGATATGGGATCAGATTTGAGCAGGTGCAAGGATGCATTGCTCTCAGTGAATTAATTTAGGGCACGACTAGGAAGAAAGGCAGTTAAGAGCATTGTGTTAGGGACACTTTGTCTTCCCTCCTTCCTTTCTCCCTCTTCCCCATCYTAATTTTGGGAGTAGCAAATTATTCCAGAACACAACTCACTGCAATTTCTTAATTATCTTGAAAGTAAATGACACTTGAATATTGCAAAGGGACAACAAGACACGTTTTACTAATTAATGCTAACACGTATTGCACATAATAGTAACTGATTTGAGGAACACTTGATGCTAACAGAACACAAGCAAGACTGACTACATTTAATTCAACTGAATTAAATAGTGCTGGCTGAACAATAGTAGTTTCTGTTAGAATAAATATGATTCTTCAAATTCTGTTCACTTTTGGAGCTTAACTATGAGTACTAGTTGCTGCACACTTTCTGCACCAARCAGAAGGCACCATGCATCTTCACCTGGGCTACCCACTGTGATCTTCCTCAGTTCTGACTGTCCAAACACAAAAGTGTGGTTACCAGGAAAGAATGCACCAGCCTTTCCCTTCCAAGCAAGTCTCTTCCATCATATCTTGTGAACTTGAGAGTGCTATGAAAAAAGTACTACAATGTTGTACTTWACACGAAGATTTCAGTAGCAATAACCTAAATCTGTAAATGATAAAAAAATGTCTCACAAGAACAGTTCAATGGGAATATGGGAACATGGTTTCTGTGAAGTACGTAGTGGATTCTGTAAAATTATAGGCTCTAGAGTGTGCAGTCTTCTAATGTTTACAGAGTTCTYCAAAATGGAGAAACCAAGTAAGTCTTAAGCATTGTTGAAAATACACAAGTTATTCATGTAAGCACAGAAAGCTGTTTCTACAAACATACACATTGCCCAAATACAAAGACAGTTTTAAAGATCTCAAYATTTCCACTTGTTCTTTTCAAAGCTATTAATTGCTAATCAGGGTCCAGTTCCAGCCTTTACCCAGATAAAGCTGCCTAAAGTAGCCATGAAGWTCACCTCAGTAAGGGCCTGCAAGTTGGCTTTTATCCCTTCATCTCACAGCTGAATTTGTCCCAGGTGATCAATGTCAGACTCAATATGAGAAATATCAGATAGCACATTTTAGCTCAGTGACCACAGCCATGAATAGTGTGGTACAAATGGTACCACTACACTTCTGCAAGTCAGGATCTTGAATGATGTGGGGCTATATGTAGTCATTAAAAACACAGAMAATATTTGCATGCACTGTCTTTCACTTAATAGTTTCACACTTGTTAGTAATGACCTTAAATTTCCTAACTGAAGCAAGGAAGTAAAAAGCATGAAGAAAGGTCAGCATTTGAAGAAAGCTATTCAACTGATATTATTAATAATCAATTAACATCAGCTGATGAGCTGCCCTTTMTATTCAATATATACATACATGTTTRCACTGTGATATTGTATACATTTTATATACATATATACACTGTGAGAACATTTTAACTCGACCACACTGAGTCCCAATAATAGGGTATGTGTCAATAAAATGCATATGCARTGTAAAAAATAAAAATCCAGACACACGTGCACTCTAGCTGCGCTGAAGATTATAGTTTATAATACTGATTACTGCACTATTTGATTCCAGCCCTAAAAGTGATTCACTTTGTAACAAGCATATTTGCCTTCTTTTTTCTAAGTCACTTTGGCATCTATAAACTAAAGGTTAATAATTTTCTATCCCTTACCTCAGAAAGTTATTCTGAGGGGATTTGAATCAATAAGGTGTCAGGTTAACAATGCATTATTCATCATGTTTAAAAGATTTATTGAATCTTTCCTAATTTTGGTGGTTAGTGATAACTATGGTTTTTTAACTGGGCTCCCCACTCTGAACAAGTTCATTTCAGTTCCGCCTCTCTGAACTCTCTCGGCAGATCGAGCTAGTGATACTATTCTTTCTGGACTTCCTTACTTAGCAAAGAGGAAGCCAAAATATAACAACATGTATCCATGCTACTGTTAAATAAAGTAACTACATCACTTGTGTCTGGTTTGGGATWAGCCAAGGGAATCCTGTAATGTGTAGATTACAATGTTAAAGAAACTACTAAACTATGTTGCCTGCTTCAGAGTGAAAAAAACCCAAAGGTTTTTTATGCCCAGGGTAGGGCATAAAAACAAACAAGTGTTTCAGGAATGCTTTACCTATGCTATGCTTTTCAAGAGAAAGGTAAAACCAGACTCAGGTCTCACATAAAATATGTGTCTAGAGCTTTGTAAGTCATGTGTTATGCACATTTTTACTACAAAGCCAMCAAACCTCTCTTGGAAGAATGCAGGGTGAGCCTTACATTTTAAGTTAGTTTTCCTTAGCTCCATCATGGGGTCTTACACAACCCTTACTGGATTCAGGAAGAGCTTTTCCATTAAAAAAGTGCGCTGTGAGTTAAGGAAAGTATTTTAYAGAAATTTGAAGTAGTACACATGCAAATCAAACCCTGACAGGCAAAGGACTTGTGGCTGCATTTAATGGCCATCACTCATTTCTCAGAATAACCACAGGAAGAGCATTTCCCAATAAACTGATTATTTACATAGATCATTAACTTGCACAAATTCAAAACCTGCAATAAATAGCTTTCCCTATCCTAGTGCTCTTTGTTCTGTTCCTACTGCTCATGTACTGTTTTTTCCCTTTCATCATTCAGGTCTTCACCTAAATCTCCCTTTGCCCCCATTATCATAAAAAGCCTGCTTATGAGCAGATTGAAAGAAAAATATGGCTCTTGCTGCAAAGACCGTGTATTTTGCCAGCAGGTTATCAGGTAAAGGATTGAGTGGATCATCTGAAATTAGAGACTTGTAAAGGAAATCGGTGCAGTGGTTAATCTTAAAACTGCATTCATGGATGTACTCTTTAACAAATGCAGCAATGAAATGATAAACATGACCCAAATCCTGGCCCTTACTGGGGGAGGGGAAATTGAGAAAAAAAAAAAAAATTAAAAAAAAAAATTAAAAAAAGTGCTCCTTGTTTATCTAAGCCCTGTGCACAGAAGGAAACCAGTTTGGATGCTTCAGCCAGGACTCTGCATTTCCAAGCAGAGAGGGGCTGCAATCCATCTGCCTCCTGAGTTTCAGCTGAGTTTTGGATGACGGTAGCAATTTAAATGTCACTGTTTAATAGGGTAAAACATTCGCAGGAATTGACTTTGCTGCCTTCCTCCCACGATGTCTTCATCTCTCCAGGCGAAAATCTCGGGTTTCCCTTGCCTGATCCTTTCAATGTCAGCTCCATGTTACCGAAACACACATACAGCTGTTTTCCCTATCAGCTGCATCTCCGGCAACAGTTTTGGGGCTTGAGGACTGCAGAGGGCAGCGAAAGGGGATGCTCAACAACAAAAATGAGTGTAGTAAAATACATATTTGTGAGGGATGCAAATGCTAAGAAGGAAGGAAGTGAACTTAGYTAGTTGTGGGTATCTCCAGGGCTCGACTGCTGCTTTCCTGAGAGTGTGCACACTGAGCCATGCAACGTATGGGTCTCCCCCTTCTGCTCTTTCAAACTGGCTTTATGAGTAAAACCTGGACCAACGAAAGGAGTTAGCAAAACATGATACAGCCATCTAAAGGGGAGCTTGGCAGTGGCACAGGTCCATGCTTCATGTTCCCTCACCAAGTTCAGGGCCAGAGGCAACCTAGCCTTGACCTCTTAGATAGCCTGAAATCTCCCAAGCAGCTACCCAAAGCCTATTTTTAGCCCTCCCTGCCTGATGTGTGTGTGTTTGCACAATGGAGAAAAGCCCAGGAGCGGGACCAGACTGCCCTGAAAAGGGAAATCTGATTTTATCGCCTGCTGAGGATGCCGGTGACATGATTTCCTTTGGTTGGAAGGAGGGTCTTCGAGTTGCTTAAACAAACCGCAAAGGCACCTCACCGCAGCTTTCCTTCTGGCCAGTTTGGGCACTCCCCTCCCTTCGTAGCGGCCCAAAGGCACTCACTTTTCCCACACCCCACAAAGCAGGATGGCAGCAGGGTACCCCCAGCCACGTCCCGTTTTGCCGCCGAGATGGAAGCAATTCCCAGCCTAGCTACAGGAAAACAAGGCGGGGAAACTGTGTGTCTCTTTCTGGAAACTGCCTCCCAACGCTGTTTGGACACGTTGCTTTTGCTGTGCTAAGAGAAGGCGTTTAACGGTGTCAACGTCCAACCCACCCCCCTCGGCAAAGTTGAAGGCAAGGCTCTCGGTGCTAATCCCAGGCTTTCCACCCGGGCAGCGACACTCAGAAAGGGCAATGAACTCCCCGTCTCCCAGAGGGACGAGCTCGTCAGCAAATGGCCAGACACGGCGGGGGCGAAAGGCTCCCACCCCCCGCTCCCCGCGGGGAGGGGACGAGTGTCGGCGGCCGGGCTCTGGCGTGRAGCAGGGTCGGAAGAAGGGAAGGGGGAGACTGGAGGGCACAGATAAGGATGATAGCCCGACCCCCCGGCTGAACAATACAGGCAGGAAAAAGGGAGGAAACGCCTGTGCAACGGCAAGGCACGCATGTACCTACCAGCTCCTCCCAGGCGGGGCTGCGGGCGCTATAGGAAGGGTACCCATGCTCCTCCATCACCTCACAGCAGGTCCCCAGCCTTCGCGGGGAGAGAGCCGACGGGCAGCGGAGCTGGGTCCGCCGGGCTGCGCCTCCCTCCCGCCGCTGTCGCTGCTCCGGCTGGCAGCGCTTCCCCGGCGCCGTTCGTCCTCCCCCCACCCCAGCCCCGCTCCTCCCTTTTCTCCCCCGGCCCTGTCCAGGCCCCCTCCTCCCTCCCCGCCCGACTCCTCTCCCTCCCACGGCCACCGGGCTCAGCCCCGGCTCCCGGGGGAGCCGGCCTGCAGCTGCCGCGCCGCTCACATCATCGCCGCCTCCCGCCCC